ACTCTACTACGACTCCAAGTTGTTAAACATGTTCATAAATCAACAGAAAGTCAACTGTATAGATCAAAAGATCTGGCTCATCTCTATGCATTCAACGAAGCCATATTTCTGAGCTACTAGCTAACCCATAAAAATAAGGCGAAATTAATCAAGACTCTATAGATGTTGACAAAACTACAATCTAGCCCACCCGAAGCCCAACTGGTTGTTCCACTAACATAATTAGGGCCAGCCACGCTTCATCTTAGCCCACCTGTAAGCCATTTGTTTTGGCCTGTGCCAGCGTTATCTTGCGGCCCTGCGACATCTTGATCTCGCCGGGCGTGTCAATGGAACGAAAACAGCAGGAGAAGAGCAGCAGTTCACACCACGAATTGATGAGCAGGCAGATCTGATCGTCGATCTGAAAGTCAATTGAGATAATAGATTATACAGATGTTTAATATTAGTGATATACTAAATCATACTCACCGAGATGTTCTTGAAGAGCGGCAAACTCTTGCACCATTTGACGATCTTGTAGAGCCGATGATCGGCCACATTGCAGAGATGGGCAATCAGATCGGGATTGGCGTTCTCGCCGTTGGACGAGAGACCCGCACTGGCCAGCAGTGGATTGGTCATCTGTTGTGCGTTGGCTGTGTGCTGTCCGGCGGAACTTGAACCGCCACCGGTGCCGCTCGACGAGGAGCCGCCGGATGCAAACGAGGACAGCGGCTGATTGATGCGCGCCAATTCCGCATCGGTATATTGCCAGAGATGTTCCACATCCATGATTTCCTAGTGGAGAGAGTAGAGGAGGGGTCAAAGTATTAGCGGGGAATTTATGTAAAAGTGTAAACTATATATAAATTGATTTCTATGTACTTTAGGGGGAGTACCAAAGCAGCGAATTCGTCGATTTAGAACTGCTTCATAAAATTTCGACTTGATCTTGTCAAGAAACTTTAAGGAACTTTCTAAAAGGCAAATAGCTGGCTTCAGTCAAAAGAAGGAATGAGGAATAAGCAATATTTTTGGTCTTCCCTTAAATGTCCGGGTAACGAAAATGAAACAAGTAAGAAAGCTCTAGTCGAGACTGCTCGACTACGAGATCCCC